AAAAAAAGAAATGTGTAAAACGGAAATCACTTTTTTATTTTACAAAAATATCAAAATCTTGAAGCCCAACTCATGGAGAAAAAAACAAAAGTCTAATACAATCTTAATGAACCAAACAAAGGGTAAAGTCTGAATAACAAAAAGATCAAAATTTAAATTTAAATACTTTATCATATTTACAAAATCATAAGATTGTTCCTATATTTACAAATATGATAAATATTTTTTTACTAAACATTACAAATTCTCAATAATATAACTGGGTTTTTAATCTTCACAGCTTAGGCAAAATTGAAAATGATATTTAAATCTTGAAATCTTTTCTTTACTTTAGGTTTAAATGACCCTAGTATTTTTCATTTTTGTTTATTTCCAAGTATGCATTTTTAGCTTTTGTCTAATTTTATCGTTCTACTTTCGAAACATTCACTTCTATATATTTAATGACTATTTTGGTCCGTTTAAGAAAGAAAAATTAATTTTTCATCCGAATCTTTTCTAAGAAGCATTGATGAATCAGAATTTTTATTCAGGAATTTGTTTTGCTAACTATTATATTCAAAATAATCTCAAATTTATATGCTCCTGCTCCGGTGTGCCTAACATAAGATTTTGTTTAAATTAGCTTATTATTTAGTATATAATACAAAATGTTGCAAAGTTAAGAGAGTCCCGACCCCATTCATGTTAAGAAGTCTGATAATAATTTTGTGAAAACTTATCATATAATAAAAAAAAAATTAAATCATAAAAGACAAAAATGAAACGTTTAAAAACAAGTAACACATGTTTAGGTTGGATTAGTAATATAGACAATTTGACAAAATAGAATAACACGTCTATAAAATAGATTTGATCAATAAGTTTCTGTTTAATAAGTTGCTCTAAACAGAAGTCATATTCACATTGCTAAGACATTTGTCTATTCAAAACATTTCGCATCATCTTTAGAGACTAAGCTACGATTTAAAATTTTTTGAAAGTTTTAGAAAAAATTAAAGACTTAAAAGTAGTCTAGAACAAGTTATAAAAAACACAACACAGATGTGGGCACAAAGTCATAATATATGGAATGACAAGATCAGGCAGAAACCAAAGACAAAGAGCAGCCCATGACACTGTCTGCAGCAACGAAAAAGCCATCCAGAAATTTATTACTACACCCCCCACAAAGCAAAGCACAGGAAATTAAAAACACCCCAAATTTTATTTTGCTTCAAACAAATCGAGAGAGATATTGATCAACAGTGGTGTATTTGACATCCGGGTACAGCGCCGAGGCCTCCACCCCGAAGGATGCCTCAATCTCGAAGTTGGTTTGATCTCCCTTCACAAACACAGAGTGGTTCAGACCCAAAATCACATTGATTGGAAGTGGAGCCTCTGCGCCAAAAAATTAGCCAAGTATGTTATTCAAAGGCAAGTCTTCTGTTTGTAGATCAGCCGAGATATTTACTGGATTTGTTTGGACAACTTAAAATAAATCCTTAAACTTTCGATCATAATCCATTTTAGTTTGAATAGAGAGAGAGAGTGACCTTGGATGTCCTTGAGGAGCTGCTCCTCTGGAACGTAAAGCTTTTGTATGGATTTGCCGATTTTGTTCTCCCACAGAGCGACGAGGTCGTTGAAGGAGTAGGTGTTGTTGGGCGGCCTGATGTACACAATCTTGTTCTCAGTTTTTGGGTCGTCCACAGCTTTTATGGTGTAACTCCCGATGTCTTCCTCCAAGTTGAAACTTGCTGTGTGTTTGTGGGATAATCAAATAAACCACTTACAAATGGGAAATTTTCCTCTACAATTGTGTGGCTTAATCAACCTCGTGTTACTTATTCCTTCTCATTTTCTCAAGAGTTGAATGAAGTCTAAAATTTATGCCGGTGACCAATGAATGACGTACTAGTTTTTAATAAGCATACACATCAAATCTAAAGGATTATTAAAAAATATTTATGTTAAAATACTATTTTGACTCGTGTATATCTAGTTTGGTTTCATCCTTTTGGTTCTTGTATGGTCAAGATGTTCATTTTTAGTCTTTCTACTTTTAACTTTTATTTGTCTATCTTGATTTTGGTCTCACTTTTATTTGTCTATCTTGATTTTGGTCTTACTTCCAAAAGATGAGAGTTAGAAAGCATACTCACTTCCTTCTGGAAAAACTGGTGGCCTAATTTCAATTTTTCTACTCTTAAAAAGTTTCCACTTTGGTCCATTTATTTTTAACATGATATTATACTTAATATATTTTTTGACATGATTGGTAGAATTTATGTTAAAATTTTAGTAATTAAGAACAAAAATGATCCCTTTTTAAAATAAAAAGACTAGAAAGAATATTTCAAAAGTATAAAAAAAACATGAATCAAAATAAAAATTTTGAAAGTATACAGAGTAACATGAAGAAAAAGTATAGAGATAAAAATAGTATTTTAACTAAATATGTATCACAAAATAATAATAATAAAATAAGTTATATTTTAATAAAAAATAATATTAGCATACATTTTAGTTAATATATTTATAATTAGTTACAAATAAGGAAAAAATATTTGGCTAATTGTTATATATAAATCGGCAATTCCTTAGTAAAGATGGTTTATTTGGATTGGATTAGAAATTTCAAACCTTTGGGTCGTCCATCGCCAGGAATGATGACTTGGTCTGTGGGAGGAGAGGTGAGCCCCGGCTGCATGAGTGTGGGGAGGAAGTACCCATTGAAACAATTGGAGGACACGTAGGTGTAGGGTATCCCTGCCCTCTCCACTGCCCTCCGGATTTGGGCCTTTATTTCCAATGCTGACTTTGCGGGCTCAACTGCGTGGACTCGATCCACATCCATCCCAAACTCTGAAGGCAAGAATCTCTGTTGTATTACCAAAAGCCCACCAAGCCCATTAAGCCGGTAGATTGGATACGACTTGATTTGTTGAACGAAAAAAGTACTTGATTACATATTTTAATTCTTTCTGTATAATTAATCACTCACTAGATGATCTCATTTGAATCGGTTGGATACAATTTAAGAAGCCAAATTGAAAATCTGGAAATCTTCCTACTTCTTAATTTCTAAGCAAAATTCATGAATAGTAGAAAGAGAGACTGAGAGTAGTACCTTGACATTGCCGGCTTCTTTGATTGCAGCGATGATCTTGACCTGATCCGCCAGTTGAAATTGGCCAACCGTCGAAATCACGACATCCACCTGCTTAATCGCCTTCACCAAACTTTCATGATCATAAAGATCTCCCTGCAACATCGATTCTCCACCGTTAAAAACCAGAGTACTCTCTCGATCGTGATCTCGGAAACAGAACGAACTGAATTGCGAAGATAAGACATCGATTCGAGAGAGATCAATTCAATTAAAACATACAGTAATCAAGTGGACTCCGGAATTCTTGAAATTCTCGACGAGTTTTGCTTTTGCAGGATCCGCGACAGTGCTCTCCCTGATCAGAGCAAAAGTAGGATGGCCGGCCTTGGCGCTCGCTTCCACCACAAACTTTCCGATGTAACCGGTGCCTCCTATGATCAGAACTTTGCTTTTCTCCGCCATTGATATCGATCAATGATGTTCTTTCGCTTCAAAATTACTCCTCGACTAGCTAGATAGGGCGGGAAATTGAAAAGGATTTTTGACTCCGATATCGGCTTTCTATCGAGTAGACGAAGAACCAATATATGGTATTTATTAGCAAAATTTGAACGGATCGAAATTACGTTTGTAGCCTCGGATTTGTTTTTTGAAGAGATGAAAACAAACATTGAAGCTTGCATGGAAAATGCGAAAAGACGAAATTAGCCCCGCATGTTGGTTGTTGGCTCTGGCTCGGAGACTTACTTTGACGGCAAACGGTTGCTTAAGCGGTCATTTTGAATGAAATTTCTATCCGACTTTTCAACAAACTCGACAAACTTTTTTTTCTTTCTTTCTTTTTATTATTTATTTTAATATCTAAGTATAATGTTCGAGAAATTTTTTAATTAAAAGTGTCGATTTATTTTTAATATTTTTAATT